TCGTCTTTTTTTCTCCAGTTCATCTTTTTTCCTTGTGCAACAGCAGACTGTCGCACAAGAGCGACATCTTTTTCATTCGTGGTGTCACCTGAACCGTAGAAAGACTCGCTTCTTAGTGTGGCCCGTGAGGCTGTGCCCTTTCCACTGTCTGCTTTCACAAGCACAAACACGGTGATGTACCCAGAGTGCATCGCTCGCTAGCCTTGCGTGAGTACACTCTATATGGTATATGTTGTTCAAAGTACCTTTATGCATAGCTGATCCAACCTGCATTCTCTTTTGCCATTGCCGGTAGCAAATTGTGTCTGTTTAGTATTGCATACCTGCCAACTTCCCCGTATTACCCAGAAGTCTCTTAAATTTTGATCAGTTTGTATGATTGACAGAAAAACCTTCCGGAAAAGAGAAATTACCCTCCCCCTCTCTTCTGTACTAAAGAAGAGTTTTTGCCATCACTGTGGACGCCTGCAATCCCATGAGCATAGGCAGTGCAATATATAAATGTAATGCAGTTGTCTTCATCAAATTTGTTGTCAATATTTATTTTTAAAACACCAGATAATCCCCCCCTCCCCTGCTTAGAAATTATCCCGAATTTGGTGGCCCCAAACTTGGAAGGCATTGTATTGTCTGTGCCTTTTCTATCTTGTGTGATTTATGTAACATAATATATCTGTTCTTCACATTTATAATCGCTGCAGGCCTGGTCAAGGAGGAGTTGCTCAGTGAACTACTAGTTTGAGTTCTCTGAGACGACACCACTGACATCACCTACAGTGCCGATTTACAGGCTTAATAGCAGATATCAATAGGAGTTGATGGTAAGCTGTCCTATTTATTTAGCAGTGTTGGAGTAACTCACTTGAGCTTTCATCACTGTTTTCGCTGGCAGTTTGTTGCCTGCACACAAAAATTGTCCATTAATTATCCATGTTCATTAAAATTGATGCAGCCTTCACACTTCTGCGGTTTAGAGCGATTCGCAGACATTAGTCGATTATAGTCGAAACAGCGTGGCTGAAGAGTTGAATGCTGAGTTTTGCTTGGCAGCTTTTTGGCCACTTCGGTCACTACAAAACATTATTTGCCTTCTCAGGTACGCGTCACGTCTGTTTGGTTGGACAGCTACCGAGTTGACTCGGATGTCAGCGGCTGTTGTCATCAGAACCTGGTTCTTGTGCTGCCACATCATTTTTGGTGGTGGCGCTGTCGTCACCTCCAACGCTTACGCTCCCCGTGTTCCCATTCAAGATGGTGAGTGGTATACTCGTGGGGGCCTCGCTGCTGCAGGTGCTGCTATGTAGCTCTGGCTCGTGGTGGCTCCACCGCCATCATTTGTGCTCCCCGTGATCCCAGCCGGAGTGGTGACTGGGATTATGCAGGGCTCCTTGTCGCAGGTGCTGCCACGGACTTTGGCTCGTGGGGGTGCCGTCGCTACTGACAAAGCTTGTGCTCCCCGTCGTCCCTGTTGAAATGGCGGCTGGAACTTGGAGAGTGTTCGCTAACACAGGCGGTCAGTTTAAGTTCCGCACATTCTGTCGTAGCCCTTGGGAATTCGTTCCTTCCATGTTGAGGTTCTAGTAGGAGAAGTCCACCGCTGTTGAGCTACATGTCACCACAGCAGTCAATCTGCAGAGGGGCATGGCCACGTGACCACACTTCTGAAATGTTAGAGCCTTGTTGTGGACATGGAGGCCGGTGTGAGAGGTTTAATGTGCGTCTGGCACATCTGCCCGGCGAAAGAACTCATGGGTGTGCCGCGTGGAAAGTGAGCAGACTGTGCAAGTCTTTTTTACAAAATGGCGCTATCAATAGGTAATGTCTGAGTCATTCTTGTCTTACGTAGGTGATACTTTCTAGGCATAATGTGTTAGTAGATAGCTATGGTTTTATTGCTTAACTCTGAACAAGATACAAACCATTTTGTTCTTAGCCCGAGACTGAGGCAGGAAAAGAGGAAAGTTTCGAAGTAGAAGAAAAATGAACAGTCGAAGACACGTCTCTAACACAGCTAAAGACAAGTTTATTTGGTCACCTTCTTATATACACTCCACAAACTTCACCACAGCACCTTCCCGATTTCGAAAGCCAAAAGATAACAAAGGTCTCACATCTTTCCACCACAATTGTCAAACGACCTTGACGTTTTCCACAAAGCAATGAACAATAGCTCCCCTCATCCGGAAGACACTTGTCTGAATCCTTCGCGTACACAGTACACTCTCTCCCTCTACTCTCCGACCCATAATCACAAAGCATCCCGGTAACAAAAGATATCAATCCACGTGATACACAAAGGAAGAAACCACTTACACCTTCACATTCAACAAGCACTTCTTCTGTTACCTGTTATCTTCTGTTACCGGGATGCTTTGTGATTATGGGTCGGAGAGTAGAGGGAGAGAGTGTACTGTGTACGCGAAGGATTCAGACAAGTGTCTTCCGGATGAGGGGAGCTATTGTTCATTGCTTTGTGGAAAACGTCAAGGTCGTTTGACAATTGTGGTGGAAAGATGTGAGACCTTTGTTATCTTTTGGCTTTCGAGATCGGGAAGGTGCTGTGGTGAAGTTTGTAGAGTGTATATAAGAAGGTGACCAAATAAACTTGTCTTTAGCTGTGTTAGAGACGTGTCTTCGACTGTTCATTTTTCTTCTACTTCGAAACTTTCCTCTTTTCCTGCCTCAGTTTCGGGCTAAGAACAAAATGGTTAACATCCACCAGCTCGCCTGCGCAATCACTACGTTATCAAGATACAAAGTATGAGACATTTTCAGGCCAAGTAAAAAATTTCGCCTCACTTTAATCTTGAAGAGCTTCCAGAGTTTCACATCATCCAGCAATCCTGAAGGCGATGCACCACATGTAATTATAATTAATATTCCCGCTCTTAGTTTACCAGGAAGGTGTTCAAGAAATTGTAGGTAGTGTTAGTTGCTTAGAAGAGCGATGTGTTTTGCATTCAGTCTTGCACCTTGGCGTTCCATTCACTTTGGAATGAGGTGCTTCATTCTTGTGCGTGCTTGGTTGTTTCCTTAGCCCGTAAAGGTGTTGGAGGTTTGTTTGTTTTTTGGGGAAACCATGTGATGTTAGTATCTGGCATGTTTTTTTTTATTGCTGAAAGCTGTTTGAAGTGAGCCTTTTGTCCACCTAAGAGCACAATGATTGGGAGCTTCACTCAAGTGTGTTTTGTGGCCACACCATAGAGCATGATTGAAAGCATCGATGCATGCTATTGATACCAAGATCGGGACTTCAGAAAGGATCAGTCAAGTCTTCCTATTTTTATTTCCATTGATTCATTGGCATTCTAGATCTCTTTTTGTAAGCGTGTTCACGTAAGCTTGTTCAACTTTCTGGGTCATAGTATCGGGTTCTTCTGTAATTATCATATGCGTTATGCATTTGTCATTAGTCTCATCTGCAGTTGTCATAGGTTCATGGCCGACATATTTGGTGCTGCTTTGATTTGGAGGGTAGATATTGTCCCCCATATGTCTAGCAAACTTCATATATCCCACCTTCAAAATTTTCTCATAGACCTGATTACTAGGCAATAAGCTCCTTTTCAATATGTGCATTTACTTAAATTGAAATGCCAAAAGCCTTTTAATAATCAGCCACATGCAGAATAAGAACAGTGTTTGTACCACGTAGTGTGGAAGAAAAGGGGGGGGGGGGGTGTAGGCCAAAGCAAACGCAAGCAGTGTGAATACAACTCTAGGACTTATAAGCGGGGTAAGTGAGGAATTTGAACTGTCTACCAAGACCATGTAGCTCACACATTTAGCAGAGGATAATTGGGTTTGATTTAACAAGCTATTGGGGTGGTTGTGAAGCTCCTATACAGCCCCACATGGAGTCACCCTGCATGCACTGATCTAGACTGCTCGTTTCACATAGATTTGTGTGACCTATTGATCTAACTGCTTCTTTTATTTGCAATTTTTTGTGTTATTCGGGATAATTGGGAACCCAGCAAAAGGTTGGCATGTCATGGAGTAAACATGCCATCGTACAGTGTGCTTCACTCTAAAATGTAATGCATGAGCAGTGGCCAAAGCTGATAACACTTGTCTAATGAGGAAATAAATGATACTGCAAAAACTGAAGCATATCTTCCTGGGACCGTTGCCACTGCCCTATACAATTATTGCATGACCTCCTTGTTTCTTTTTTTATTGCCCTCAGTTAATTTGACAAGGGCTGGATTGCTGTTATCCTTAATAGGTCGGCGTGTCACGTTTATCTTGAGGTCAAATTAACGGTAAATTTGTTTTGATAAGTTAAATAAGGGAAACAACAAAATGTTCAGAGCAATGTCTTTTTTTTTGCATCACCGAAACATTTATTGGTCACCGCATTGAAACTAGGAGTGTAACGCACAAAGAGAACTGCAGTGTGACCCTCCAGTCTGTGCCGTCAGACGATGCACACATTCTGCAACATAAGTGCAGGATTAGCTTTTTTTTTTTGGGGGGGGGGGGGGGGTCGATTTTTGTGAGATGACATGAAAATGTTGTGGTCATCACCATCAAATTGTTTGTTGTCTGCATGTTCCCTGCTTTAGTGACAAGGCCACTGACAAGCCGCTTCACTGGTACTAAATTGAACTGCTTGACAAGTTGCTTAAACAATAGTGATACGCAAATGGCAGTACGAGGACAAGTGGAAGAACCACAAGTAGCGCTTGTCCTATCACTTCTTCGACTTGCCGTTGTCCATAGCATTATTTGTGTTTTGCCCCTCTTCACTGCTCTTCAGTCTGCTTCATAAAGAGCAAATAAATAAGGCTGCTTAATAAAATGACACCGTCTGTTGAATTGGTAAACATTTCTCTGTAAAACATATTGCCCTGGCCAAGTCCAAGTCTCGTCGTCACATTGAGTCGCATAGTGACTCGGGTAACAATGGTTGATGAATTGGGTGTAATTCTACTGAATCAGTAGCATACTTCAATCTCTCTCTGCACAAAGCCTATGTTTCGGAGCGATTGACATAGTGTTTTCTCGACAGCCGAGGGGATTGAAGCAGGTGCTTAATGTCTGTGAGCTTCCACCATTGAAATTTTAACTTATCACTTACTCTAGAACTTGATAATGGGGCAATGGCAGATTTTATGAAGTTTGCGAAACCGACGTCGGAGACCTTTGACTTGGGAGAGGTTTACAGGGCTAGAAAAATAATGACAGCACATCCTTACTCACAATTATCTGTAATAAAAAGACTGCCCAAAGAACTGTAGCTAGTTTTAAGTGTCACTCGCTGAAGCGGTTTTTATATTGTGTTAATTCCTGCATTTTGCTGTTCTGTTTTCTGTATCAGGATCCAGTGTTACATTCCTGTGGCTTTTTGGTTGTTTCCCAATTATTGAAGGGAGTTGCAGGCTTATCATGGGCGACACAGTGCTTTGGTGAGTGAACCTTTTATCTACTGCTTGGCCAATCAAATCGAGTGGCTTTGAAGGAAACTCTCTACAGTTTCAGGATGTTTGAGGATGTGTTCTTCTTCAGACATTCTGAAATGGCACAAATTTTTTTGTGCTGCATCACTATGCTCTGTTGAATGACCAGCTGAAAGCGTGGTAGATGCTACATGCTCGTTGGACCAGTCATATGTCTACCTTTCGCCATGTATTACACTCCCGCCCATAACCATGTGCAGAAGGCGGGGTCAGGTAACAAGAGGGAGGTGGTTGATTGATTTAGTGGGTGCGTAGTTACCACCACAGTCAGCTTAGAGGTGAATGTTAATTACTCAAGCTTTAAATAGGTCACAGTACTCAAAGCCTGAGGAACACCTCAGAAGTTTTTAGAATGTTTTTATTTACCGTGTCTACTCGCTCCATGAGTCTCAAACTACGTCCAACTCGGCTAGCCACCAAGCCAATTTTCTTTCGCCGCCAAACAGCCAGGCCACTTCAAACCAGGCAAAGCATAGCAGCACATGCTTTCACGGCTGCAAGTGTGTAGTTCCGGATGTGATCAAGAGTGAAAGCGAGCGGCGCATACACGTAACAAAGCTGGGGTCGAGGAATTGCCCAGCTTTGGACATGTTTCGCCCACCGAATGCATTGATGTCAACAAACACGCGGTCATCTGTGGTGTGCTTTCGGACAGTGAAATCGTGAAATTGGTGAGGCCTAAGGACGGTCGCGTCACTCTCCATGCTGAGTGAGCTTCCATAGTAAAAAAATCTTAAAAGTATAAAAAAGTTTGATGTCCAACAAACGCATATGATCCAATAAGATCATATAAGAAAATACAAGAACTTTATAAAAACATATAAGAACAATATAAAATTGTATTTGAGGTTATAAGAAACTTCTTTTTAGTTTCTTAAAACTTCTTATATAATCTTATATATTTCCTATATTGTTCTTATATGTTATTATAAGGTTTTTATATGATCTTATTTGGTCATATGCTTTTATTGGACACTTAAATTTCTCACACATGCAAGATTTTTTTACTATTTACAAGAAGGGTGCTTTTCCTTTGACAGAAGGCACACTGAAAGCACCCTAAAAAAGGTTTTCAAAATATAGAACATGGTTATTGTAGCGCGCCCACGACCAGCCGTCAATGCACCTCCGTCAGTGGAGACATGCCACAGTACTTTGCCGTGTCATACTGCCACCTAAAATCACATTTTTGCGAACTGTGTATATGCAGAAATTTACCCTGCATAATGAACGCACCCCCCAAATATATGTCAATTTCAGAATAAAGAGGTGTGTTCATTATGCGGGTAAATATGGTAAAAAAGTGAATAATGACTCAAACAAATGCAAAACTCATACATTGGAATTTGAAAAAATTCACCAACCACATCCTACAACAAGGTCCCAACGTTTCAAAAACAGCTTGTTTTTTTCTTCAGGGGTGACTGCTTCCAGATAGGGGAAAACAGCTTCGTTTTCTTCTACGGTAGTCTCTTTTTTTTCACTTTGTTAGGTGGCCGAGTCCGTTCACGTAGCATGATGGCAATGTGCCAGTGGACCTATTGATGTTTCCTGGTGCTGTTTGGATATGCCGTGACTAAAAAGCTGCTGGCAGAAGTTTGTCTCAACATTTATGAGGGTGTTGGCGAAGTTGATGCGATATTCATTGTCCTCACAGTGCTCTGCAACAGCGCTGCGCTCGTGGGTCGAATTTGCAGACATTGTTTTTGTGTTGTTGAATTCTTTCTGGGAAGTTCTTTGTTTTTCCAATGTAGGTGGCATGGAATTGAATATACAATGCCCTGCACTCTTTGTTTAGAGGGATGACCTTTAATTCGCAGCATCATACGTCAAGGTGTTGATACCAGTTTGTGGGACACCTAAATACTTTCTTTTACCAGCATACATGACAACGCTTCGCTAGTCCCCTTTATGTAGGGAACACATATGCGGGTGTGTGGACGGATATTTTTGAGTTTTTAAGCTTTCTCCCGACCAGGCAGGCCTCTGCCAAAATGTTTACACCTAAAACTTGCACTGCATGTAGTAATGGCTCTTGGTCTGCGAGAATTTTCGTTTTAGTTCTGTGTTTGTTCAGCATTATTGGGCAAATTACAAAGGCTACGCCACCTCATTATGACCACTGTAAAAAGGGCTATACACTTGATAACATAGTCCTGGCATGTTTTTGCTTTGAAAAACATTTTAACACACAAGGTCAGTCTATTTCTTAATGACTAGGGATCCATGACCAAAAAAATTTTTGTTTCTATTTTGTCTATATTTTTTTGTACGAAACTTTTCTTGTGCTGCCGTCATAGCTTTAATTTCTAAAGGAAAATTATTTCCGATGTTAGGGGATAGATGGTGCTTCCTCTCGTATGATAAAAAGAGTGAGCGTTTAAAGACGCACTCCCAAAACTGACTGAAGAGTGGTGCATCTATGAGTGCGCCCCCCAGGTTGCTGTTGAAATTGCCATGCATCCAAACATCTTATCAAAAGTAATACATAAACCTTTGTCTAGTGTGAAGTGAATTTTTACATTAAATTCAAGTAATGACGTAATAACAACATGGCAGTGCCCACAAGCTGCATGCACGTGAACGAATTTCCCCATCCAAATGGATGAATGACCGTTTTGGCAGAACTGGACAATGACAAAAAGTGTACCAATACTTGAGTGTAACTTTCTGGGGGCTATTATCATTTTGAATTGCAATTCTCATTTGCTCTTTCAGCTCGCACCTTCACGGAGTACGGCAATGTTTGGAAGCAAGTCGAGGACAGCCTCTCTCGATTTCTGTCCCGGGGGCACTATGCTCTTTCAGGTAAGCTGCTTCCCTCTCTTAAGAGACACAAGTAGACCCTTTTATTCAAGACAAGAATGACGATAATAATCACTGGAAATGGGGAACAAGGGGGACAAAGGAGATTCCTCTTTGTCCTTTGTTCCCCTTGTACCCCTTTTCCAGGGATCATTATTGTATTCATACTTATTGCATTATTGTGGAGTTCACATTTTGACAACCTGTGGTTGGCTGATGTTTAGTGGAAGTTAAAGCTATTGCACATTCAAACATTGTGTGAAATACAGCAGAACCCTGCTGCTGCATCTTTATGCAGTCACAATAAAGGATCATGACATGAGCAAAGATGTAACAACTGATAATGCCCTTGGGATAGCTATAGATGTTTCAGGAAGCTGTATTCTCTGTTTATCTCACCTTAGCTTTTATGGCTGAAAAAGATTGCCTTATTTTATATTTTTATAATGCAATTAAATGCAAAGCTTATATATTGACGATTTTTTCAACAGTTCTTAAAATTGTGGTTGAACTATAAGTAACACACTGTTTACAGACAAGCTTGTATTTGCCCACAGCAGCTATGGGCACTGCATACGCAGGAACTAGATTCGTGTGAGCAGACATGCCTGTACATGTGCTGTGCCGACAGCCGCGCCATCGCAGTGATGCGTTGTCTATAGTTGCAGTTAAAAAAATATTGAAATATAAAGATGCAAAAATTCTGAGTCCATCGAGCTAAACCACAGCTGCCTCAAACAAATCACTGCACCCTGCATGCCAGATCAAAGCAGTGGAGCTTGATGCAATCAGCACTGCTTGAACATGGTGGCATGGAGGTCGTAAAGCAAAATAGGGTGTCGTGAGAGCCTGAATCTCTTAGCGCCATACAGGACCAAGCAAGAAACAGAATGCAGAGAGGCAAGGAGGTGAAATAGAGGGAGTAAAACAAAAGGAACAGGGTATTTGTTTCTAGTAGTCATACCGGCCACCTTGAGTGGCAGTGTTTGGGCATAAGAATCAAGAAGGAAATTCATGAAGCCTGTAATTCTAACATATATACTTTTGGACGTTCGATAGGACCGGTGTCCGTGAACATAACAGCCGAGAAAACATGTGAGCAAGGTTCTTCTGTGCATAATATTGAATGTGCTGCAAGAATATTTCTGGTTATATGCCCACTTAATTTTTGTTTTTCTTCTTTCAGCTCACACCTTACAGACATGTCAGGAAGCAAGGAAAGGTCATTTTTTCACTCATCGTTTACATTTGTCTTAGTCTTTTGAAAAAAAAAAACACTAGTCATTTTAATGACACTGTGATAAATAAATTTTTGGTCTTTAAATTGTTCTTCAATCTTTGTTTTCTTCCCATATTGCAAGCCGGCACGATGTGTATCAGGCATGGGATCAATGGTAGGCCATGTAAACTATTGCAGTTTTTCGGCTGGCCAGCTTAAATTTTACAAGCGGTTGACAATGGCAAAATGGTCACGAAGGTCGATCAAATGACGTCTATGTGATCATTATGCCCTTATAAAAATGGTTAATGCCATTTTGTATTATTGCCAAATGGCAACAGGTGTTTACAAGCAGTCAGTCAGCAGGCAACAGATGTTAATCGTCATTGAGATGTCATCTTGTTGACCCGGATAGCCATTTCGCCACCGTCAACTTTTTGCCGTTCTATTGGTTATTGTCGGTGCATTGCCAGTGTATCTACATGCTATTGCTAATTGGCTATTGGAGGCACTCAAAAGACTATAAAATTTATAGTCCTTTGATCGCCTCCTTTAGCCATTTAGCGTTAGCATGTAGATACACTGGTGATACACCGACACTAACCAATAAAATTGCAAAAAGTTGACGGTGGCGAAATGGCTATCCGGGTCAGCAGGGTGACGTCTCAATGACGATTAACATCGTTTGCCTGCTGATTGACTACTTCTAAACAGCTGTTGCCATTTGGCAATAATATGACTTTCAAATGGCATTAACCATTTTCATAGGGGTATTTAAAACAAAGGTGAGAAATAATCACAATAAAATTATTGACCATAAATAATCCCTATCCTGAGAGTGGCCGAAAAGAGTTACACTACACTACCGAAAAAAGGGAAAAAAGTAGAAGGCAGTGAAACATGACACCTCCGACAAGCGAGAGAAAGGTCAGTTTGCGCCTCAGTTGCTTAAAATACCCGTAACCCGACAACAAAAAATCGCCCGAACTCGAAGTTTGCACTCCCTGTCGCAGAAGGGGTTTCCCCAAAACATATATTTGTGTGGTCAGAATTACAAATTCGAGCCAAATCCGTGCCTGAGTTGAGGTGAAACCATCCATATGCACTTCCTATCTGTTTGACATAAACAAATATGACAATTACATATCAAGTTCGGTATTTGAAACTCAGAACCGAAAGCAAAAGGCCCCAGTGGAATACTCTAATGAACTGCATTCCCCCGTATTGAGAGGAATTGAGCGCTGGATGCCGACGCTTGTGGATAGGGACTTCTAAGTAACTTCTTTTAAGTGCACTACTCCCAATTTCATTAAGGTTTATGGTTGTATATTGAGGTAACTGCTAACGATAAATACAAAAACCTTACATAGGCCACACTTCTGCTCAGCAGAGCACCTGTGCGAAGTCTCGTTCAAAACGCTCGTAACACGAGATTTGAGTCTTAATAGCGGCCATACAAACAATATGTTACAATTTCTGTTGGCAGTTCCTGATAGACTGCTATGTTACCTAACTCTGAATAAAAAATGTAAGAAATTAAAGGTCAGTTTGTTTTAGAAAATCGACTCCAAACTTGCTAGTTTTTTTAAATATTAGTTTTTCAGGTACATGTAGCGGATTATACACTTATTGGTCAATATTGAAATTATACTCAGATGAAAGAGCTTCATTGGTGCTTTACGGTAAAGTAAAGATCATAAAAATAAGTTGATTAGATGAGACATCACAGCTTGCTGAACTTCGTCAAATATCGTCGAAGAGAAGCGGCTTGACAAAAAAAAGTATGTTAAGAATATTATGACCTAGGACGCTTAATTAGCATGAAAAATCATATGTCGAGAGTGTTCCCAAAACGTTATATTGATGTAGAATAAAAAGTAAGGAAAAGGGAAGGAGTGAAATATGGCACCCCTGATAAGCTGGAAAAACGATTTTCCACCTTGGCCGCTTCAACTGTCCATAACTTGAGAACAAAAAATCCGACGAACTTGCCCTTTTGCGTCTTTTCGTATTATGGGAATTGCCCGATTTAGATGTATTTAAAAACAAAATTAAAAATTCGGCCGAAAATTTGTGCCTCAGTTGAGATAAAATCACCCATATATATATATATATATATGTATACCGGGTGTTTTTTTTAAGCTTAACAGATTTGTTTAAAAAAAGCCGGGAAAGTTACACTTATGCCGCTTGTGGAGGTGAGCTATACGGCCAGGGGGACATAGTATAGGGGGCTAATCGCAACGATCAGTCGGCTAATTAATTCAAATTTGTTAATCAACTTTTTAATTAATGAAAATAGACTTATGGTTCTAATTAGAAACTTGCTCAGCGTCATCGAAAACCACTAAACCAATAATTTTCAGAAAGACTTTCAGCGCATGAGAAGCGTAGTAGTGCACTAAAGTTACCTTTCGTGGAGCAGGTACAAAGCCAGCGGTTGCGATAAGGCGCCCGCGCGATTTTTCCGCCTCTTATCTAGCCCCAGCCTTGCACCTGCTCCACGAGTGGTAACTTTAGTACAATACTACGCTCCTCACGCGCTTTAAATCTTTCCGAAAATGACAGATTTAGTGGTTTTCGATGACGCTGAGCAAGTTTCTAATTGGAACCATATGTCTATTTTCATTAATTAAAAAGTTAATTAACAAATTTTTATTAATTAGACGACTGATCGTTACAATTAGCCCCCTATAATATGTCCCCCTGGCCGTATAACTCACCTCCACAAGCGGCATAAGTGTAACCTTCGCGTCTTTTTTTAAACAAATCTGTTAAGCTTAAAAAAAAGGACACCCTGTATATATATATATATAGAGAGAGAGAGAGAGAAAGAGGGTGGGAGAGAGAGATAGATATGAAGAGTGGCGAAAGTTATTATTGAATTATTTGCATTAGGGCTAGGTAAAGGTTCAAAGATGTGGCAGAAACCGGGCCCGTAGCGGGGATCGAACCCGCAACCTCCGCCTATCCGGGGCGACGCCTCAACCGATTCGACCATTTCGGGCATTGGACGGTGGACTCAATTTGTGGCTTGCTGTCTGCGTACTGTGGGTTCCAATTTGCTTAACTAGGTAGAACACAGCCGTTGCTAATTTAAAAGGGCACTGACAGGGTGTTTATGCTCGCCGAAGTTTTTAGTTGTGCTTGACATATGAGAGCCCAACTACCCAGAACAGAGTTTACGGCTCGAAATTCGGTTTCTTCCCGCCCGAACACCGCCGATCGATCACACAGTTACGTTCGGAGCGACCACTACGCTTACGAACGAATGCAACCTGTTGGAACGACGAGTTACCATAGATACGAAGCGAAAAACGGTGGCTGCGTTCGTGTTCGTTCGCAACGCAAGGAGTTGAGCCGGGCTGAACTTTTTCTTTACGTTCGGGAACGACGGGAGCGACAGACCAATCACAGGTCGAGGAGGGCTCGATCGCGCGCGTTGCATGCCGGTCGTGCCAGGCTCCTTCTATTTGCAAACATGGCGTCGATGGTGATCGTCGACATGGACGGCGTGGTGGACGCTCATCTTTCCCCGTAAAAGCTATGAATTTTCGTCATGTATCCTTATGATAAGCCAGCTCGTACTAGACGGGAAGATCCACCTACTCGTGCGGCGATCTCGTGGCGGCACTCTCAAGACAGCAGAAACGCCCGTGCAATCGTGTTTGTTTACTTCGACTACAGTGGTGCTTTCTTAGCATTTGTGTCCTCGAACATCGCCCGGATTTCTTTTTCGGCGCATTCCACGCGTGTGCTGAAGTTCAAGGTATTACTGACGCGTACCGTATACAGGATGCAAATTTTTTACTCGTTTTCATCGCCCGAAAAAGGTGATTAGTGTTAGCAATCCTGAACGCTCGCAACGTCTATCTGATGACGAAATTATAGTTCTGTGTTGCTATATCGCTGCTAAAATTACATCGTCTTTTATGATCGTACAAAAAGGCGTGTGGCGAGATTTGTAGTGTTGGCAAAGTCGTGTATTAAAGTCGTGATCGTGCAAGACGGCGTACTGCATCGTTTCCTTTTTTTAATGCGCTACCCTGCAAGCGTATCCTGAAAAAAAAAATAATAATAAAGTTTAGGTCATAGAAGACGGTCTGTCTATTTTCTGTTACGCAAGTAAGTGGCAGAGCGTCCCCTTCTTTTTAGAGGCACCGCTGACACAGCTGACGGCGGCGGAGAGGCGGTCGCCGTGCTGCCGACCCGCTGCGCTTGGGGCAGCGGTTGCAGGAGTGTACGCGCGGCGCAGAACGGTCGTTCCGGTCGCTCTGGTCACAAGGGACGCAGTGGTGGATAACGGGTTCATGTCAGATGTCAGAACCAGCCTCTACACAGCTAGTGTAGGCGCACAGCAGATCTTCAAGACTGTTCGCCGTAGCCGAAACCTCCGGCTGCTCCGGTGAGGAGTCTGAGGACTTCGCGTCGGGCAGGAAACCGTCCGCCATGTTTGTAAGCGTAGCTGGGTTGCTTACTATTGGCTAGGAGCAAGAGCTGAAGCTCGTTTCTTATTGGCTGTTGATTCATGCGGTTGCATGTGTGTGTACACGTCGCGCACAGTTGTCGTTGAAGTCGCAGCGGTTGCATTCGTTCGTAAGCGTAGTGGTCGCTCCGAACGCAACTGTGTGAACGGGCCTTTAGACGCGACCACCGAATTTAATCAAAGTCGTTCGTCATTGAAGGCACACAGTTTATGCTAAAGATAGAAACAAATGTGAAATCCATTTTTTCTGGCTTCTAAAAAGCTGCAAATACGATGATTGAAAAAAAAAAGGTTGCACAGACAACCGGAAGCATTCTGTGCGTTCACTGCATAATTCTCAACATGGCACCGTTTCGCGTTTCGTGCGACTCGCGGGTGGTAGCGGACGACGGGTGTTTAACCTCTGCCTCAGAACTGTCGTTCGCGGTACCGGCGAATTCTGTCTTCTTTCGAAAGAGAAATGTTGGACCGATCAAAAGAACTTATATTCATCCCGTACGACACGCCCGACCACAGAGCCGATTGCACGAAGACGTCGTCGAGCCGTCGTTCCTTCTTGTGGCTGAAGACATCGGTCGCTCAAACGTCAAGCTCGAAGTGCGTACATCGCGTTGTAAC